CTACCCAGGGCGACAGCTTGAGGCTCTGTCTCCAAAATAAATAAATAAATAAATAAATAAAAAGTTTGAGAGGCTCAGCATCCATAGCTCAGTGGTTAGGGTGCCAGCCACACGCTGGTGGGTTCGAACCTGGCCTCGGCCTGTTAAACAGCAATGACAGCAACAACAAAAAAATAGCTGGGTGTTGCAGCGGGCACCTATAGTCCCAGCTACTTGGGAAGCTAAGGCAAGAGAATCGCTTAAGCCCAAGAGTTTCAGGTTGCTGTGAGCTGTAACGCCACATGGCACTCTTCTGAGGGAGACATGGTGAGACTCTGTCTCAAAAAAAGAAAAAGTAAATGAGAGAGATGTATTTGGTTTTATTTTATTTTATTTTTTGAGACAGTCTTACTTTGTCACCCTCAGTAGAATGCCATGGCTTCACAGCGCACAGCAACCTCCAACTCCTGGGCTTAGGTGATCCTCTTGCCTCAGCCTCCCAAGTAGCAGGGACTATAGGCGCCTACCACAATGTCTGGCTATTTTTTGCTGCAGTTTGGCCAGGGCCAGGTTTGAACCCACCACCCTGTGTATATGGGGCTGGCGCCCTACCCACTGAGCCACAGGTGCCGCCTGTATTTGGTTTTATTTATTTGTTTTGGAGACAGAGTCTTATTTTATTATCCTTTATAGAGTGCCACTGCATCATAGCTCGCAGCAACCTCCAACTCTTGGGCTCAAGCAATTCTCTTGCCTCAGCCTCCCTAGTAGCTGGGACTATAGGTGCCTGCCACAATGCCTAACTATTGCTTTTTTTTGTTTAGTAGGCCTGGGCCAAGTTCAAACCCACCAGCCCCAGTGCATGTGGCCAGAGCCCTAACCATTAAACTACAGGTGCCCAGTCATATTTGGTTTTATGAATGGACCATCCCTGGAAGAAAAGGCAAGCCACTGGTAACTCTGGTTGAACAAAAGAAGCCTGGACAGGGACTAATGGAAAATGTCTCATTGTATCATGATGTTTTAAATTCAGAAGATACAACAGAATTGTTTTACCTATTCAAAGGGGAGTAAAATTTAAGTTAAAAATCAAAAAATATTTTTTTCTTTTTTTTTTTTTTTTGAGACAGAGTCTCAGCATGTCACCCTTGGAAGAGTGCTGTGGTATCACAGCTCATAGCAACCTCCAACTCTTGGGCTTAAGCGATTCTCTTGCCTCATTCTCCCAAGTAGCTGGGACTACAGGGGCTCGCCACAACACTCAGCTATTTTTTGTTGTTGTTGTAGTTGTCATTGTTGCTTGGCAGACTGGGCTGGGTTTGAACCCACCAACTTTAGTGTATGTGGCTGGCGCCCTAGCCACTGAGCTATAAGCACCAAGCCAAAAAATCAAAAAATTAAGAGAATAATAGAAGTACATAAATGGATGATAACCAGTAAACACTGCTCCCACCAAACCTAACTTTCTCAGACAGAACTTGCTAGAAAAGCATGTGTTTCTCTGTAACTTACCAGCTCCAGCTTCATAATGTGCACACAGTCCCTGAGGATGTGCGTAGGAGCTCCTAATAGCTTGGTGAAGGCTATTAACGTATTAGCTTTAAATGGTGGTCCCGCAACCTACAGGGATAAACAAAGCAAGTTACTCTTTGTTCTACCATGACTTTTCGGTTTCATTAACTATATTAAAATTATGCATTATTAAATACATACTCTTGTTTCAAAGAATTTCTCTAAAACTTGAAGTTCATCAGGTTTCCACTGTCCTGCGTTTTCAGGTGTCACTTTTAGCTGAAGTGTCTGGTTGGTTTTGGGACTCAGGGCTACTCTGCATTTCAGTGCATCAGTTTTAAACATTATTACTCCAGGTTCATTGGAATTTATCAGCTGCAGCTGCATTAAAAAATGCATCAAGTTAACATGTAAGTCAAATAGAAAAGGAAGATGTTAGTGAGAGAACTGTTTCAAAAGGAAAATAACTAAGCTGATGCCAGTTCCAAAACAAACAAAGGAATGTATGCATTGAGCATCAACTGCTAGCAACACAAAAGAAAAGGGAATCAGACATTATGTGCCTCTTAGTAGAAAAACATAAACTATCTATGAAATACAATCAAAACAACAGTAAAATACTTGAGCCTGAATTCATTTAGTAGCTTGATCCAGAGGATTGACCAATGTGACAGAAAACACCAAGGTCCAAGAGAAACATATTAAATGATTCCAAAGGGAAGGAGGCAGCAAAATCCAGACTGAGAAACTCTACAGGACAAATTACTTGGTTTCTTCAAGAAATAAATTGTGGGCTCGGCGCCTGTGCCTCAAGTGGCTAAGGTGCCAGCCACATACACTTAAGGTGGTGGGTTCGAATCCAGCCCAGGCCTGCTAAATAACAATGGCTGCAACCAAAAAAAAAAATAGCCAGGCATTGTAGCGGGCGCCTGTGGTCCCAGCTACTTGGGAAGTGGAGGCAGGAGACTCGCTTGAGCCCAGGAGTTGGAGGTTGCTGTGAGCTGTGATGCCACAGCACTCTACCCAGGGGGACAACTTGAGGCTCTGTCTCAAAAAAAAAAAAAGAAAGAAATTGTGTAAGGACAGGGAGAAATTGGGAGAAACCAATAGTTTAAAAGGTACTTAAAACAAAATTCTGATTCAAACTGTAAAAAATGAGATTTAATTTGGTAAATCTGGACAGCAGCTAGATATTTGATGATAAAGAAATTAGGTATAAGACTGGTACAGGTGTTTTTTGTTGTTGTTAAGTCCATACCTTTTAGAAATACATGTGAAACTTTTATGGATAAAATGATATCTGGGATTTGGTGTGAAACAATCTGGGGGGGGAGTTCTAGATGAAACAATATTTGTATGAGTTAATTGCTGAAGGTGGATGACAACAGCATAAGAGGTTCATTATACTATTCTATTTTTATGCCGAATGCTTTCCATAATAAGGTTTTTTTTAAGGGGCACATTAGAAAAAAAAAGAACAGGCTAGGCACCCGTAGCTCAGTGGTTAGGGTGCTGGCCACATACACTGAGGCTGGCAGGTTCAAACCCTGCCCAGGCCTGCTAAACAACAATGACAACTGCAACCAAAAAATAGCAGGGCATTGTGGCGGGTACCTATAGTCCCAGCTACGTGGGAGGCTGAGACAAGAGAATCACTTAAGCCCAAGAGTTTGAGGTTGCTGTGAGCTATGACACCACAGCACTCTACCAAGGGCAACATAGTGAGATTGTTTAAAAAAAAAAAAAGAAAGAAAAAAGAGAGAGAATAAAAAGATCTTACAAAAGGTTAGATCTGGATAGGGCCCTTATTCTAGCCGAGGGGTTGACAAACTTTTTCTGTAAAGCATCAGGCTTTTCATGCTCTCTGTTAGAAGTACTGGATGATGCCACTGCAGCTGAAAGCAGCTATAGACAATACATAAACAACTTGGGTGTGGCTGTGTTCCAGTAAAACTTCATAAAAACAGGTGGTAAGTGAGGAACTGATCTCAGGAGCCATAGTTTACTGGCCCCTGTTCTAGCCTATTGATTATGCAACCAAACAAAATGGCATTCAAATGAAAGCTTACATGGCAGAGCTGAAGCTAGATCCTAGGTGTGATGCTTACCATTTGAATACTAACTTAACCTTCTTTTTCAAATCTGAATATAGATTGTAAAATACCTTCATGCCAACCCTGAAGTGGATATTTTAAACACTCACCATTTTGACTACTACCTCATGAATACATATGTATCAATAATAATTAGAAATAACAAATATTTATTGAATGCCAACACATACTAAGAGCTTTAAATGAAATACCTCAAATTTCCACAACTGTTATCAGTTACGTAGATACTATTATCAGAAAGGTGAAGAAACTTGCCCAAGTACATATTAGTAGGTGGTATAGCCTAGTTACAAACCCAGGTAGTCTGACCCCAGAACTGGTATTCTGACTATTAATTATCTCACAGGGGCATCATCAAAGTATAAAAGTCATTTTCTATGAGGGTTTTAAAAATATTAAAATTTTCATATATTTAAAAAGCAGCTTTCATTCTCATGAACATAGTTGAATTGTTTTTTAATTGAGACAGTCTCACTTTGTTGCCCTTGGTAGAATACCATGGCATCACAGCTCACAGTAACCTCAAACTCTTGGGCTCAAGCAATTCTCTTGCCTCAGCCTCCCGAGAGGCTGGAACTACAAGCACCCGCCACAATGATCGGCTTTTTTTGTTGTTGTTTTAGCAGACCCAGGCTGGGTTCGAAACCACTAGCCCCAGGGCATGTGGCCAGCACCTACTCACTGAGCTATGGGTGCCACCCTGATCATAGCTGAATTTTAATGGAAACTCAGATTCAAAATCAGCCTGCCTTCAAGGGCACTCCAGAACGGCAAATAGTTATTCATATGCTATTCTCTGCAAGGCCAGATCCTGTGTGCACTGGTCTTAGATATTGTGGTGACCTATCATGAGGTATATGTTACCCACATAACATGGGAGGCACAGCATAGCAAACCACAAAATGCAGAAATATGTTAATGCAAGAATAAAAAAGAAAAGTACTAGAGTCCATTTTTTTTTTTTTTTTGAGACAAAGTCTCACTATGTCACCCTAGGTACAGTGCTGTGGCGTCACAGCTCACAGCAACCTCATACTCTTGGGCTTAAGTTAAGGTGACCAGATTTTAACATTGATAAAGTGGGACACCATTGACCGGGTGGAGGGGGGTGGGGGGAGAGGTTCTCAATTAAAAATTTGGTCTATATGGAGCAACAAAAATTTTCATAGAATGTAAAAATAGTATTATAATATGTATTTTTTAATTTCTACATAAGTATAATTTACAAATATCATACATTAAAAAAATATGTATAGTATTATTTTATTCTTTGGCATATTTCTCCTTTGAATGAATTTTTTTTAGTAGATTGCTGTTGTTGTTTAAAAGGTCATGAAATTCTTCACAAGAATTTGTTAAATTATATTTCACACATTTTAAAGTCTCAACACTTAATTGTGATTTTTCTGATGTCCACACTTTATTTACCATAGAAAAAACGCGTTCAGTCGCAGCATTAGTTCCTGGCAAGGACAGCACGTATTCCACAATTTTTAGTGCATTATTGTATGGAACATGGTTTGTTTCAAAATGATGAAATATTTCTAACCATTTGTTCTCTATTGTGATTTCTGCTGATGCCCAAGATTTAACCTTTTCCTTATCAATATATATTTTTAATAATGATACTTCATTAAAAAGATCATTTTCGGAAATATTACTGTATGGGAAATTTTGAGTAATATGATCGAATGATTTTTGCACATCATTCCAATTAAGTTCTTGTTTTAATGTAACCCAATGAAAATGTTCAATATCATTGTAATGTACCATCCACTCTTCTAAATAATCTATGCAGTTACTATAGAACTTTTTAACGTGAGTCATGATATCTGCACGATTTATTGCACCTTGTTCTTCTAGCTGGCTTATACTATTACGGATAGTTAATGGAAGAAAATTATTTTCTAACCACTCTTGACACTGAAATTTTAAATTATTAACTTCATTTGCTACTTCGATTACTGAAACTTTGTCATCTTCAATAAGTTTTATAGCATTTTGAAAAAGAGCTGCTTGATTGTGTACAAACTCTGGCCAAATTTTTGAAGATTTGTTTTCAAAAAACTCTTCTAAAATTCTAGGACATGTATCCTGTGATAGAAAGTAGGATTTCAAAGGATCATATATTTTCAAAATCCTTTCAACAGCTGGCAAAAGAGCTAACCAGCACGTTTTAATGTATCCAAGTATTTTCTGATATTCGACTTCCGCAGTTTCACAAAATTCTTTAAGCATTTCAATGCGTACAGTGTATATATAGAAATAAGAATATATTTTAATAACAATATTTTCCACATCTACGGGCAACAAATCAGCAGCTGTTTGAATGGCGTTATGTATTATGTGCGCTGCACAACCAACACCAGTAATGTTTTGATTAAGGTTTTTATTTAATATAAAACTCATATCCTGGTGAAATAGCCACATGGCAGCCGAAAACCATATATTCCCTTCCCGTTCTCCTGCCGTTCCCAAGCTTGTCATGCATTCTTTCCAAAAATCGGGACTTTTTTAAAACACCGCAGGACACGGGACAAACTGTTAAAAACAGGGACTGTCCCACCAAAAGCGGGAAGTCTGGTCACCTTAGTTTAAGTGATTCTCTTGCCTCAGCTTCCTGAGTAGCTGGGACTACAGGCACCTGCCACAACACCCAGCTATTTTTAGAGACGAGGTCTCGCTCTGGGTCAGACTGGTCTTGAACTTGTGAGCTCAGGCGATCCACCCACCTCGGCCTCCCAGAGTGCTAGGATTATAGGTGTGAGCTACTGCGCCTGGCCCCGGAGTCCATTTTTAATGCTAGGGCAAGATTAAAAGCACAATTCTAACAAGCTGGTTAAAAGAAGCAAGAGAATGTTTAGTTCCAATCCTATCCTGCTGGACAATATAGCATCCTTTCTTTGACAGTCACCACTTAGGTCAGTAGGTACCCATACCGTTTCTTGTTGAATAATTCTTTGAAGGTGTCTTCTCATGATGACTGATCCAAGAAATCTCTCAAGTGGAGAACAAAGGTAACTGCCTGCCAAGCCGGGCACGAGGCCTGGTGTTGGAGAGGGCAGCAGTAAAATGTTCAAGGCACTGTGAGTGAGGATGGTAGGTATGGATGCTGCCCAAGAGCGCTGAGGTAGTTTACGAGGTGGAGGCATGTTTGTTGGCATTGTTTGGGAACCTTTTGGGAAGGAAAACATATTATTTCATTTATGAATACTTGGCATCTCATTGTTTCCTGTTTTGCTTTTATTATAAATCTTTGATATTCTAAATCAATCTGTACTGTTTTAGTAATTCCTTGTGGTGTAACCCTCACATATTAACATCCTTTTAGCAAAACCAGGCAAAATTATTTTCTTCTCTATATGCAGACCCCTTACAATGTGACTCTGCAGCAACTCTTTTGAAAGGGTGGAATCTATTTCTCCACCTGGAATCTGGCTGGCCTTGCATCTTGCTTCTAACAGAAGCCTATTCTACTTCCTCTCTTGGAACCCTGTCGAGCCACCATGTGAACATGCCCTCGTCAAGGAGACCACCCAGTGCAGTCTTGCCATCCACGGCCATCTTAGACCACCCAGTCCTTAGCCAAGCCAGTAGCACAGACACTACGAGTGAGCCCAGTAGAGTCTGGAAGAATCACCCAGTTGTGCTGAGCCCAAATTGCCAACCTCAGAATTGTAAGCCAACGTATGATTGTTATTTTAAGCCACTAAAAGTTATGCAGCAAAAGCTACTCAATATATTTGTACAATTCCTCTCTTCTGTGTTAATTTGTGTAATACATATTTGGTCTTTGTCCCATCTCTTAGCAAATCAATCCTAAAATCCTTGGAATCTTCAAAGTGGTGTGTTTTTGTATGCTAACAAGATGAGTGACAGCTGGCAGCCCCTAAGTAGCTTCAGGGTGGGGGATGATCAAAGGAAATACAAGGCAGGATTAGAGGTTCTAACTTTCAGCCCCAATACCCAACCTCCTGGGAGGAGAGAAGGGCCTGAAGATTAAGCTGATCACCAATGGCCAATGATTAATCAATCATGCCCACTTGATGAAGCCTCCATAAAAACCCAAAAGGGCAGTGTTTAGAGAGCTTCCAGATAGGTAGTACATGGAGGTTCCTGAAGGGTGGTGTGCCCAGAGAGGGCATGGAAGCTCTGTACCCCTTCCTATGTGCCTCACCCTATGCATCACTTCACCTGTATCCTTTGTAATAAACCAATAAATATGTTTCCCTGAGTTTTGTGAGCTGCTCTAGCAAATTAATTGAACCTGAGGAGGGGGTTGTGGGAAACCCCCCCCCCCAATTAGTAGCTATTCTTTCAGAAGCACAGGTAGAACAACTGGGGCTTGCAATTGGCAAGTGGTGTCTACTGTAGAACTAATTAACTGGTTGCTGGTAAGGAGAAATCTCCACATACTTCTTGGTTACCAGAGGTCAGAGGAAAAACTATTTTTTCTACAAGTTACATCACTTTGTTAACTTAAGGTATCTTTTAAAATCCCATATGGCAGTTAAAATTTAGCAGTCAGACAGAGGTACTGGGACTCACTTCTGGAGGAGATATTCCCCTTACTTAACATTTTGCCCAACTTTGTACATTAACTATGTTAACTGATTTACTAAGTGGATAGAAGATTAGGTTATCAAGTATCTTTACTCGACCAGTACACTGTGACTCTCAAATGTGAGGATGGAATAAAAATAGGTCATTTGTGAGTTATACTAAAAAAACATAAAAATGTTGACGATACACACTTGTTCCAGCTCGAGGGGAATGAGAAGCATCTGGAACAGGAGAATGTAGTGATGGATTGGCTGGTGACATTCCAGGCATGCGTGTTGCTGGTGAGGGGCCAGATACTTGAGGTGACCCTGGCCAGTTCCCTGCCCGTCCACTTGGTGACACCATAGTATATGGGGAACTAGGGTCAAGAGTTCCTGTAAAAAAAGTAAACAATGATTCTCAAAACTGTACTTTAAAAACTGAAATTATGTGAAAGCATTCAAACTCTTACAAAGTAATAATTTAATATTTTTTCAATAAGATGGCTTCACTGAAGCTTCATGCTTCTTAATGTATCACACCTGAATGTCTATGTAGTTAGTGTATTTTTTAACAGAATATAAGAATTAGACAAATAAAAAGTCTGAGAAATGATAGAATTTACCTTCACAGAAGCTTCCATATATGTAATATGTACTAATCTGCTTTCTGAGTCTATATGCTTGAAAATATTAAGCAATCACAAAACTTCAAGGGCAGAAATATACTTTTAAACTAACCCTGATACATTACATTTTCATTCTATTCAAAGGATAAGGAGAGGGAAACTTTCCATTTTCTTTATTTAGTAAATGCTACATTGATTAAGAAATGAACCAAGAATCAAGTTTTGAAAGCAGCAAATTCCTGAACAATTTGATTTTTGAATTTCAACCTGCAGATATGTCAACATATTATTTATACCCTTTGTAACTCAATGACAAACTGAGAAAATACTTCCATCAGAGAGAAAATGGTCTTTATTTATGTTAAAAAAAAATCTCACAAATAAGTATGAAAAAACACCACAAGAACATAGGCAACGTATATAAAACTAGCAGGTATAAAATCAGAAACACCAAAGACGAATGAACAAAAAAAAGTTCAACTTCATTAATACTCCAAGAAACACATTAAATAACAGACACCATTTTCACCTATCAAAATGGCCAAGATTTTAAAAATTTATAATATCCCATGCTGGCAATGATGCAGGACAACAGACATTTGTATATGATGCTATAGGAAATTGGTACAGCCTTTCAGGTTAAGCAATTTGCAATGTTTCGAAAGCTTTAGAATTTTTCAAACCCTTTGAGACAGCAATGCCACTTCTAGGAACTTAACTAAGGAAATAATCATGGATGTGAGCAGAGATGACACTACTTCTAATTGTGAAAAAAATTGAAACATTCGAAACGTGTAACAATAGGAGAGCAGTTAAATCATGGTATGCTCAGACAAGGGAATACTATGAAGCTATCCAGTATGATGATGTAGACAAAAATGTTCCCACAAACATTAACACAAGTAAAATCACAGATGCTACACAGCTTAAAAACTGGGAAAGTTCTTTATGTTCTAATATAGCATGGTATTCATGATATATTAAGTGGAAAAAAGGCAAGGAACACTGTGTACAGTATGCTGCCATGTGGGGGGAGAGAACACTTACATGTATTTGCTTATGCATGCATAAATCAGCTTTGCAAAAATATGTAAAAAATTATGACACTAAACATCTCTAAAGAGGAACTATGTGGGTGGTGGAATAGAAAGGAAATGTTTCACTGACTATATCCTTCTATTCTTTATCTATCTGAATCAATTAAAAATAAAATTGGGAGGCGGTGCCTCTGGCTCAAGGAGTAGGGCGCCTGCCCCATATATTGGAGGTGGCAGGTTCAAACTCGGCCCCGGGCCAAAAACTGCAAAAAACAAATAAATAAATAAAATTGGGTTAAAAGTTTGAAAATTCAAGTGTCAAAACAATTCATATGGTATAGTACCCATTCGGGGGGGGGGGCATGAGGAAGGGTGTATTTGAGGAGGGAGACAAGCAGGTGGGCAGAGAGCAAGCAGGAGTAATAGAGCTGCAAGAGGGCAGGCAAGCGGGGAGTGCGTGACAGGAAAAGCAGGCAAAGCGAGAGAAAGAAAAAGAGTCCAAAGCAGAGACAGACTAACTAGTTGGTTATGACCTCTATGTGATGATGGGATTTGGAAAAATTTATTTCCTTTTTGCTTAAGCATACTTTTGCTATTTCCTCAATAGACAAGTGCCCATTCTACAATAAAATAGCTTATGCAACAAAAATTATTTTCACGTCAAGCTCTTAAGCTATAACGATTTCCATATATGGACTCACCATGTGGACTAGCAAAACTGGCCCCTGGTCCTATTGAGATTCCATGCGAGGATGGGGGAGGAGTTGGAACAAATGACGCTGGTGATGGGGCTCTCAAAGCCCCACTGGGGGAGTTGGCAGCATGCAGATTTCCTAATAAAGGAAAATAATTATAGATGATCTTGCAGGACACATATTATGTCCTGTCTAAGGATCCCAAATTAAAAATTTCCCTACAGACTAATGAAGCAAATATATTGTAAAGGTCCCAAAAGTAGTACAAAGAAAAACTGGAAAGATTTCATTATTGAAAGAGAATGCTCAATTCCATGGGTGCAAATTCTAGCTTTCATATTGACTGACTGAAAATAAAAATTATTCACTCACTCACTACATTCAACAAATAGGCCCAAATGCCAACTTTATGCAAAACATTGTTCTAGACACTGGGGATGCAGTGGTTAACAAGAGAGACAAAAATTCCTGCCTTCATGGAGTTTATAGTCTAGTAGAATGAGAAAAAAGAAATATATGTCAGGTAGTAATAAATGCTATGAAGAATACAGGGTGACCCAAAGGTTGCCCCTAAAGTTGTTATATGTAGGAAAACTGCATCTAAATGTACCTTTATTTAGAAAATCTTCATTATAAAATTTTACAGAATATTTACACAATATTCTCTATGTGCTGGCCACCTCTTTCTAAACTACAAAGCCCGTAGTTTTAGAAAGAGGTAGCCATACAAGTGCTCATTTTCCCTACGTATGGGGACTTCAGGGGTGACCTTTTGGGACACTTTAGAGCAGGGTAAGGCAGTGATATTGTGTAGTGGTGGAGGTGGGCACTGCTCTTTATATATAGCAATCAGAGATGACCTAAGGAAGGGGATATGTGAACCATGACGTGAAGAAAGTGAAGGATAATGCATGAGGATATCCAGGACATTAGATATTCCAGGCAAACGGAGAGCTAGTGCAAAAGCCCCAAAGGTGGAAGAGGCCGGTGTTGCTGGAATAGAGTGAGCAAGTGGGGGAGGGGGGTGGAGAGGTTGGAGGGAGAGGAAGTAAGGCCTAGATTGCTTGGGGACTTATACGTTACTCTATGGACTTAGGATTTACTCTGAAGGAATGGAAAGTCAGGGCAGAACTTGGGGCAGGAGTCACGAACTAACTTCTGTCCCATAAAGATCATTTAGCTGTTGCGGGACAAACAGACTATAGCAAGGGCAGGGAACTAATTAAGAGATGGTTCCAATAATCCAGGTGAGAGAGGACTAATGACTTGGGCAAGGGTTACAGAGGTTAAGGCAGTGAAAAGTAGTTGGATTCTAGGTAAATTCTGAAGGGAGAACTATTTGGTAAGTGACTAAATGTGAGCGTGAAAGAAATAGCTCTAAGAACTTTGGTCCAAATAGCAGGAAGGAAGAGAATACCATTTATTGAGCTGGGGTGTCTGTGGGAAGATCAACACTGGTAGGTGAGGAAATCAAGAATTTAATTTTGGCTAGGCTAAGTCTCAGGCATCTACTAGACATGACGTGAAAATGCTGAATAGCTAGAAAATACCAGACTTTTTAGTTTAAGGGAGAGGTCTAGATTAGAGATAAAAAAACGGAGAGATGTGAATTTAAAGATAGTACTTAGGGCCAGGTGAGGTGGCTCATGCCTATAATCCTAGCACTCTGGGAGACTGAGGCAGGAGAATCTCTTGAGCTCCTCAGGAGTTCAAGACCAGCCTAAGCAAAAGAGGCTATGTCTCTACTAAAAATAGAAAAAATTAGCCAGGTGGTGTGACAGGTGCCTGGATTCTCAGGTACTAGGGAGGCCAAGGCAGAAGGATCACCTGAGCCCAGGAGTTTGAGGTTGCTGTGGGCTAGGGTGATGCCACAGTACCCTAAACTGGGCAAAAGAGTGAGACTCTGTCTCCAAAAAGGAAAAAAAAACTGTAACGATAGTATTTAAAGCCACAAAACTAATTTTAACTTAGGATGATAAAAGGGGAAAATGGCGACTAAAACTATGAAAAAATGCAACATTTAAATACTTGCTACATTACCATAACTATCTTCCATATCGGCAGGTTTCAATTTCTTACTACAGTTGTCTCCCCCTTATCCACAGGAACATTCCAGGACCCCCAGTGGATGCCTGAGACCTCAGATCATGCTGAACCCTATATATACACACTATTTTTTCCTATACATATAATAGTTTAGTTTATAAATGAGGCACAGTAAGAGATGAAAAATAATTAGTAATAAAGTAGAACAATTATAACAAATTATAATAGTAGTTATGTGAACGTGTTTGCTCATGCTCTCTCTCTTAAATATCTTACTATACTGTACTCACCTATTTTTAGAATGCAGTTTACCTTGGGTAACTAAAACCATGTAAAGTGGTAAGGGGGACTACTATAATATTTGAGATAATTTCATATTTTTATGTTCTATAATACCTAAAAAGCAACTCCTTATATTCAATAATATGTTGATTAACCCTAGTTATATTTACTTCTTTAGCTGTATGAGCTGGACAAGTTTTCCTCCATAAAATGGGAATAATAATAGTACCCATACCACAGGTTTGTTATGAAGATTAAATAGGTAAAGTGCTTAGAAAAAAGGCTTGGCACATAGTGAGCGCTATATACCTAATACTATAATTATTTCGAAATAATTATTTTCCCTTTCTACTATGCGAAAACAATCTCAACTCATATCCTAAAAAGATACTCCCCTTGGGGTTCTATGTTCCTGTTTCACATCTTCTTCCCTAGGTACTCCTTCACACTGACTTACTGGTACTCTTAGGGCCTGAGCTTTCCCACCCACTAGGGCTTCACTGAGTCTATCATTTGTGGTCTAGCTATCTCTGATATCCAATTGCCGACTGGGCATACTGAAGTCTTTCAGGACTTGCAAAATCAATAGGTTCAAGAGCACTCTCAGTACCCTTCCACCTCATGACATCTGCCCATTCACCAATCTTTTTTGTTGTTGTTGTTGAGACAGAGTTTCAGTATGTCGCCCTGGGTAAAGTGCTGCAGCATCACAGCTCACAGCAACCTCAAACTCTTGAGCTTAAGCGATTCTCCTGCCTCAGCCTCCCAAGTAGCTGGGACTACAGTGCCCGCCACAACACCTGGCTATTTTTGTTGTTGTTGTTGTAGTTGTCATTGTTGTTTAGCCGGCCCGGGCCGAGTTTGAACCCGCCAGCCTCGGTGTACATGGTAGGCACCACTGTGCTCTGGGCGCTGAGCCCTCATTCACCACTCTTGTCTTTCTCAGCTGTGCAAACAACTCAGACCAACTCCTACTAAAATCCAACAATGGCTTCCTATTATAAAGGCCAAAACCTCGAACAGAGCCCTGTCTCTTCATGTGCCAACCATCTGGGACAGTCTATCATCCCCTGAGACTTCAGCTTCCACACACCCTGCACACACTACCTGAAATATGCTCCTCATCCATGTTCCTGCATCTAGATAACTCTGGCAAATCCTTCAAGTCTCACCTTAACCAACATCAAAGGGAGGCAGGCAAGCAAGGCATCTCCAGAAAAGAAATAATTAAACCCCCTTGCCAAATGCTCCTTCAGAAGCCTGAATAACCCTACTTTGTAACACTGCACTTTTTGTGTCCATTACAGACAAAGACTGTTGATCTAGGAATCTAAATGGAAAAAAGCATGCCCCCTCTCCAAAAAGGGGAAAGAGGGGTTCAAGATTTTTAAAATGAAGATCTCTATACATATTTTTTAAAATCCACACTACTGGGCAGTGCCTGTGGCTCAGTGGGTAGGGCGCCGGCCTCATATACTGAGGGTGGAAGGTTTGAACCCAGCCCCAGCCAAACTGCAACAAAAAATAGCTGGTACTCTACCAAGGACAATAAAGTGAGACTCTGTCTCAAAAAAAAAAAAAAAATCCACACTACTGAAGTAATTGGAAGAGCAATATGAATGTACTAAGGGTGGCATCTGCCAGGATGTAAGTGCCCCAGGCAGTGCTAGATGTCAAGTGCCCAGTCTGCGCAACAATGCAGATTTTCATGGGCTGGTCAAAGAGGAATTTGTCTTATTCGAGGCCCCAGATCAAATACATTATATGAATTATTTCCTTCAATTCTCATATCTCTAAGCAAAAGGTTTTATATTATTCTCATTTTATAAATGGTTAACAAATAATGTTCCTATACTTTACATCTGCAAATTAACAGGTTCTATTAGTCAATACAAATTTCTCATATATACAAACGTACATATATAAGGATTATTTTTTGCATTTTTAAAGGAAAATGTATGTATTGCAAATTCTGCTTTTCTTTCTTTTTTTTTTTTTAAGAGACAGAGTCTCACTTTATTGTCCTGGGTAGAGTACCATGGTGTCACAGCTCACAGCAACCTCCAACTCCTGTGCTTAGGCGATTCTCTTGTCTCAGCCTCCCAAGTAGCTGGGACTACAGGCGCCCGCCACAACACCTGGCTATTTTTTGTTGCAGTTTGGCTGAGGCTGGGTTGGAACCCACCACCCTGGGTATATTGTGCCGTTGCCCTACCCACTGAGCCACAGGCGCCACCCGCAAATACTGCTTTTCAATGTGAAAACTTAAAAGCAAATATATATGTTAGGTTTGTCACTCAAAAATCAGGATTTTTTATGTTTGTCCTATTTTCTGATAAGCCCAAATGCCTTCGATTAGTATAAAACCACTTAATGTTGACTGGACTAATATGTTTATAGTAAATAGATTTTTACTACACACATGCTTTTAAGAATTATTTTCTTATATCTTCCATCCCATACCACATCTTTTACACTAAAACATTTTTAAAAACTCATTATGCTCTGAAAATAATAATGCAGAACAGATTAAGTATGAGACCTCGCCGACAAGAGGTAATCTCTCCAAGAAATCTGATACCTATCTTCCTTGCTAGACGGTAAGCTTGAGAGCAGGATATTTGGCTCACTGCTCAATTTTCAGGACCAAGCAACATTTGGCACAGAGCAAGTACTCAAGAGATACCACTCAATCATTCAGTTTAAAGCAAAAAGTTGGCATCTTCAAGCACTTTTATGGGGCTGCCAACAAAGCCATTCTGTGCAGACAAGTAGGCTGTGCACTGTCCAACTCTTGGGCTTGACGCAGGTGACCATTCACATATATCAGAGCTTAACAAACTTTTTTCAGAAAGCAGCTATAGATACTACATAAATAGGTGTAGTTGTGTTCCAATGGAACTTTATTTACAAAACCAGTTGATGGGCAGGATTTGGCCCATAGGCCTTAGTTTGTTAATAGACTGACATAGATCATATCATGACTAGCACCCCTTAAAGTTATGCTGGGAGTCTGGCTCTGGGTGACAACACCTCTACTTAATTTAAACCTTTTAAAGTGCTTCTGAACCACAAATACAAATTTCACAACCCTGACATCATGAATGAATGGCAACTATCTAGGCAGAGATTAGAAAGGGAATTCTCTCTGGAGCCTGAGGCTAGACGCATAGGGCTTCTCAATGTGTTAAGTATGTGTGTATTTGGATTTGAAAATTCAACATAACAAAAGAATAAGTAATAACTTACCTGGAGACTGTGTATGCATCATAGAGGGAGACTGATTAACTGTGCTGTGGTAAGATGTAGGGGGTGAAGTAAGAGGATAAGCGCCTGATGTTCCTGGCTGCTTTGAAAAGGGCTAAAAAAGAAAATGATGGTAAATGGCCCAAGTGCAGATTGTGTAAGAATATGGCTCTCCCTAATTATTGCTACAGGGTTAATCTCTACATACGTCATTGATTACCAAATAGAAAACATGAGGTTTGAAAAATACACATTAACAACAAAAGTCTTTAAAAACTCTTTAAAATGTTTTAAAAATAGTAACCTTGCAACACCATTGCTTTCTACCCCTCAAGATGTTTTTTGCTCATTTTACCTACCATGTCACTGATTTATCTGTATCATTTACCTACCATTTCAATAATTCTTAGTTATTTTTTCCCCACATTCCAACATCTCTGAAATCAGGTTGTGTCTTTCAATTCATGGCATGTTAGTTTAACTGGAAGTGTAACCTGACCTCTACTCACCTTTATCTTTAACTCTAGTAAGGAAAAACCAAGGGCAATCTAATTACCTTCCTAGTCTAATTTTTTTTTTTTTTGACAGAGCCTCAAGTTATCGCCCTGGGTAGAGTACTGTGGCATCACAGCTCACAGCAACCTCCAACTCCTGGGCTTAAGTGATTCTCTTGTTTCAGCCTCCTAAGTAGCTGGGATTACAGGTGCCCACCACGACGCCCAGCTATTTTGGTTGTAGTTGTTGTTTGGCAGGGCTGGGATGGATTCGAACCCGCCAGCTCTGATGTATGTGGCTGGAGCCTTAGCTGCTTCAGCTACGCCAAGCCTCCTAGTCAATTTTAAAAATTGAGGTATGACTCACATATAGTATAGAAATTTTGTTTTTTTTCTTTTCTGAAATTTTAAATGTATAGTTTGATGAATTTTTTTACATATACACACCACAGAGATCAAGACACTGAAGAGGTCTCCTTTATACACCATGCAAGGTCTTTAGTGCCTCCCCAAAGGTAAGAACTATTCTGACTTCCATCACTCAAACTGAGTTTTGCCTCTATCTGTATTTCGTAAGAATACTGAACGTACTCTCTATACAGAAGTGTCCCACCTTTTTTCTCTTTTGCCACCCAATGGAAGAAAAGCTGTCTTGGGGCACACATTGAATAAATGAACATTAGTATTAAATACATACACATTAGTATAAAAGCTGATTAGCAAAAAAAGGTACATGCATACTTTTCATGATCTCCAACACCACAAATACAGTATAATACTTTATAGAAACATAGGCTGACTTATTAATTCATTCTACTGTTGTTGGATATTTGGGTTGTTCATAATCTTGGGGGGGGTAAATAACGTTGCTATGAATATTCTTGTGTTTTCTGATGCATTTCTGTTGTATATACTATACTTAAGAGAATTTTTAAGTCACAAGTATGCATAATGTTTAGCTTTAGCACTTAAAATATTGCCAAACATGAGTACAAAGTAATTGTACCATTTTATACACCTTCTGATAGTAAATCAAGGCTTTGGCTGCTCCTAATACCAAATGCTGGCAAGAATTACCAATTGTTTTTGTTGTTGTTGTTGTTGAGACAGTCTTACTTTGTTGCCCTGGGTAGAATGCTGTGATGTCATAGCTCACAGCAACCTCAAACTCTTGGGCTCAAGTTATCCTCTTGCCTAAGCCTCCCAAGTAGGTGGGGACTACAGGCACCTGCTATAACATTCGGCTATTTTTTAGAGACTGGGTCTTGCACTAGCTCAGGCTGGTCTCAAACTCGTGAGCTGAAGCAATCCACCCACCTCAGCCTCCTAGAGTACTGGGATTATAGGTGTGAGCCACCGTGCCTGATCCTACCAGTTTTTTTCTTAAAGCCATTTTTGTGGGTGTGGAGTGTTGTCTGGTGTTGTTTTTTTCATTTTTGTTTTTAATAAAAAGTCACATTTATTGCCACAATACTGTTATATACAGAATAGGTCTCCAAATCGACTTTAAAGAGGACTGTTTAAAAATCCCTAATAATTCAGCCATCTGTACTGACACATATATAAAATTATTTTTCCTTTGAAAAATTAAAAAAAGAAAAAGACCAGGTGTGGAGGCTCATGTGAGCCTATAATCTGAGCACTCTGGGAGGCAGATTGCTTAAGCTCATGAGTTCGAGACCAGCCTGAGCAAGAGCGAGACACTATCTCTACTAAAAATGAAAAACTGAGACAAGAGGATTACTTGAGCCCAAGAGTTCGAGGTTGCTGTTGAGCTACAATGCCATGGCACTCTACCCAGAATGACAGAGTGAAACTGCCTCAAAACAAACAAACAAACAAACAAAACCCATCTTTGTTCTGAAAACCAGTTTTCTTGAGGCACCCAGAGCACAGCTTCCCCTAATAACTGTGGTTGCTTCTCCCTACCCAACTGCAACTTTTTCATCTCGTGCTGGGTTAATCTCATTGCACACACATATTTAACTTAAATTATATATATAATACACAGTCCCAGAGTCTATGGGGCCTTGAGGGTTTCTCACCTGCTACCCATCTGGACTTCTCACTGTGGTTTTTGTATTTCTGTGATGCCAATGATATTTAAATATTTCTGCTGTGCTCACTGGCTATTTGGACATCCTTTTTAGTGAAATGCCTTGAATATTTTAACCATTTTTAAAACCGTTGTCTATTTTTTTCTTATTGATTTTTCCTGTACTATTTTAAAGAAATTACAGAATTCAGACTCTCTAATTTATAAGCTACAAAATCATATACTCATCTGTATTATCTTATCCAATAATGTATAATGCACCTTTCTTTTTGGAGATACAAGCCATATTATCTTATAATTAAAACTATGATATTATTAAGTTTTTTTATTTCCCTTTCTCATGGACTAGCTTATGGAATAAAACTGTGCATTTTACATACAAGAAGAAAAGTTACCCGTTAACATCAAGTAAAATGTACATGGATCCCTTAATGAGATTTTTTCCTCAAAACTGTCTTATCAGGGAGATTAACAGTTTCCAATTAGGAATACAGAACAGATAGCTGGTAAACAAAAAAGAAATAAAAACAAACTGTTCAATAAAATGCTCAATCCTAAAGCCAAAGCCACTAACTAAAGACATTTAGCCATATGTTTAGCCAATAATCCCAAATGAATATTCTTTTAAAAGAATTCTGGCTGGTACTAAATATCATACTTCTTAATTTATAAACAAAAAGCTTTACTTACAGGTTGGACACAGAGCAAGACAAAGCAGAAAATTCCTAAAGTTTTAACAAGTGACAAATTATTCTAATTTTTCTATAATATCCTACTTTCTCTCATCTATCCATTTGTATCCTTCTGCCTTAGCTTGTAACTATTTTCCTAGTTAACAATTTCATGTTTGGTATTAAATGCTAGTGGTACTTAGATCTTTTAGCAAAATCAGATCAGCACTGTAAGCTCTCACTGTGTCAGACTATGATTTTTTTCAGTACCAAAATCATTGTAGAGAATGACTTATTTGGGAAAAAGGAGAGCTTGATGGAACACATTCTCCCTCCATTCCTCCTATAACAATGGCCCTGCTATACCTGTGGTCACTAGCCAGCCCATCTTGGATACTTCTTTCCCCCAAAAGACATAGTTCATCTCTTGCTCCATATCAAGAAAAGACCTGCAATGCAAGGAAGTGGCTTCCTCAAGAAAAAAAAAAAAAGCTGCTCTGGCATCTGTTTGGGCAAGGCACTTCTCTCCTTATGGTAACCTAACATCCTCAGAGGGCTGAGACCTCATTTGAGTCAATGTCTGTCACAAGAGCCCCGTACCTTTGCTACATAAAGGTATGGGATTTTACTCAACTTCCCTGCATTTTCACAAAGGTCATGAATGAAAACAGTGAGGCAAGAAAACCTAAATAGCTGCCAGGGACAATACACCTTTTACAAAACCCTCCTCCCGGTAAGAATCCAGTACTTTGTCAAAGATGTAAATACTAGAATTTCGTTCCAGTTACTAAGCAGCCACGCCAGAAGCTAGACAATAAAACAAGCACAAGCTAGTTCCAAGCAATGCTATTATTTCATGAAAACTTCTGCGAGAACAGCAGTGTAAACAAAATGTACAGGATGTGCCAAAGAGCCTTGCCTACAGGTTAGATGTTCACACACAACTAAAAATGGAGACACTGAAGAATCTACCACAGAGTCTACAGCCATAATGAGTATATGTATTTTCCAGGCTAAGAAGTCATGTGGGACTATTGAAGGTGTAACAGATCATTGGTCAGCCTCTATTTAAGGAGGATCAGTGTGAGAATGGTTGGCCTAGTGGACTACTCAACTCTTAGACATGTGAAGGTGGCAGAAGAGAACTGAAAGCTCTTTTAGATTCTATAATGTAGCTTATCCAAATGGTCTGAGGACAAAACTCAGATACTTAGTTTACTGTGATCTACTTTAATATTTATCTTTAAAGACCTGGTGAGGATGCTCTTCCAAAGACCTCCTCGGATCCTACAGATACTATTTCCATCCTTGGAATCACATACATATATATATATATATATATATTTTGGAAGACAGAGTCCCATTATGTCACCCTTGGTAGAGTTCCGTGGCATCACAGCTCACAGCAACCTCAAACTCTTCGGCTTAAGCAATTCTCTTGCCTCAGCCTCCCAAGTAGCTGGGACGACAGGCACCCGCTCACAATACCTGGCTGGGTTTTTTTGTTGCAGTTGTCATTGTTGTTTTAGCTGGCCCAGGCTGAGTTTAAACCCACCAACTTCAGTGTATGTGGCTGGTGCCATAACCACTGTGCTAGGTGCTGAGCCTGAATCACATTTTAAGTGCATGGGTGATTTCAGTGTCTGAGGTTAAGGCTATTTCCAACACTTCACATCCCATCACTAGAAGTCTCCTTATCTCCCTCTGTAACTACTTTTTCACAAGGAATATGTGGCATCTTGGTCCCACCAATGACCTCTTTGCCTTTCAACAAAGCCCTGATAGCTATAGAACCTGTGAAGTTATAGAAACGTATACCAGTTAGAATTTCAGAATTACCTGTTGCTGGGTTGGTGGCTGGAGTTGTGATATTAAAGAATCCATCATATCTCCTCCTATAGGAGAAGGGGGATTATCATCCTCATTTACAGACCTTCTTCGAGCATCCTGATTGCTATCAACAAACATATTCAGGAATGTCTATGGATATAAACAGATAAAACTTAGATTATTTTACCTAATTTTGGTAAAATATTTTTAATCATTGAGAGTAGTTAAACAGAAGCAAATATACAAGTATTATGTCCATCCCTGAAGACTATTATTAGAACAACCTAGAAGATATACTGCTAATTTTGAAGGAAGGAACTACAGAAAACAGTTAATGATAAAAACAACATTTAAGTGAAAACAATATCAAATAAGAAGTATTGTGCAAGCAAAAAGTCGAAGAAAGAAGTATACCCTGGTACCTCTTCCCACCAAGTCAAAATATTTTCTCATTAACTTGTGATCCAGAAATGAGGGTGGGGGGATGAAAAGTGGTATATTGGCCATAACTTCAATGACTTGGGAATCTTCCCAGTTAGTGAAAAGAAAGCTCTTACTTTTTAAGCTAGAAAATATGTCAGGAAAACTGAATAAGAAACTAAGCCAACCTTTTCCTTTTTATATTATACAATTTAATCTTGAATCCAAGAGTGGGACAGCTCTACGTTACAGGATATGTCATCAAAAATTGAGCAAGGCTACCAGAGGCTGTGTTTCAAATATAGATTCTCTTTCTTTGAACACTCTCCACCTTCTCAGTTTTCAAAAATGTAGATCATAAGCTTATCAGAACCACTAGGAACCAATTAACATTTTGACTGGGAACAACACCTACAAGTATTTAAAGGAGATGTCTGTTTGGTACGAATGACACCTCTAGACATTGTTCAATTCTTAACGGTTGTTACCATCACTACACACCTCAATCAATTGATACATTTTCTTTCTGAGTGCTCTGCAGTTAACAGGTTAAAGGCACACAGTCTGACTTTTAATTGAAGATGGTGGGTTCACAACGCACATTTCATCGTCTCCCAATAACCCACTAAAACTACTGAAAAGAAAATTTAAAGCATTAAGTCACAAAGACAAAAAGAATGTTTGTGTGTGTGGGGGGGAAGGCTGCAAAGCAGATAGCTTAGTGGTAAGTGAAACATCCAAGGTAAGAAAGTTGTATTCAAAGTAAGACCTAGGGAAAGCCAAGAAGCAAAGCTATTTCTATCCAGGCCCCCGAGACACCAGGTAACTGGTGGCACCAGATACTGCTGGAAATGGGAGTGAAAGTGGAAGTATAAACAGAAGGACTGGGTGAAAGTCTTTTCTTTTTTGAGACAGAGTTTCACTTTGTCACCCACAGTAGAGCGCTGTGACATCACAGCTCACAGCAACCTCCAACCCTTGGGCTTAAGCGATTCTCTTGCCTCAGCCTCCCGAGTAGCTGGGACTACAGGTGCCTGCCACAACGCCTGGCTATTTTTTGTTGCAGTTTGGCTGGGGCCAGGTTCGAACCCGCCACCCTCAGTATATGGGGCCGGTGCCCTACCCACTGAGCCACAGGCACCACCCAGGGTGAAAGTCTCTTTAAGAGACACTTAAATCCACCCAGATCCTCTATCATTCTTACTGAGCTCAAATGATCTCTTCTACCCTAGAGGATCATCTCTAACTTGGAAGACTCCAGATTGACTGAGATGAGACTATATTAAAAATGGAGATTAGGTGGCACCTATAGGTCAATGGGTAGGGCACCAGTGACATATACCCAGGCTGGTGGTTTCAAACCCAGCATGGGCCAGCTAAAACAACAACAAAAAATAGCAGGGCTATGTGACAGGCGCCTGTAGTCCCAGCCACTTGGGAGGCTAAGGCAAGAGACTTGCTTAAGCCCAAGAGTTTGAGATTGCTCAAGTTGTTGCACTCTACTGAGGGCAATAACTTGAGACTATTTCTCAAAAAGAAAAAAAAATGGAGATTAAAGTGTACATATTTAAAATGACAAAATTTAGTTTTCTCATTTGATATCTCCAAAACTGGGAGTCAGATGCATACCATCTATGCAGAAGATTTGGATACTCCTGATATTCATACCAGCCCAACAAAAAGACCTAAAGCTACTAACATTAGGAGTTGCCCAAGCAGATCATCCTGCAATGAAGATCTTGATCTTTAACTATTACCTTTAATAGTTAGAGAACAGAGAGTTAAGAATCATTTAATATTTGAGAAAAGATAGTAACATGAAAGAAATCAACTACTCCCCAAAGCAAGGTAGATAAAATGGAGATTATATAGGAAGAAAAGAGGTAAGAGAAGCTAATGTAGTCATGTAAAAACAAAATGTCACAAAATGAACATTTAGAAACAAAAAAGAGCTCTTGGAAATTTTTTTAAAAGATGGCAAAAAGAAAAATCTTGGCAGAAATGAAAAATATAAGGATTTGAAAGGGAAAATGAGGTGTCTTCCAGGAACAAAGAGACAAAAACCAGAAGACATAAGAAAATTAGAGGATAAGTCCAGGATACCCAACATCAGAATAGTAGGAGTATGTGAAAGAGCTAACAGAGAAAACAAAGAATCAAGAAATAATACAAGGAAAATTCCCAGAGCAAAAGGAAGTTTTCAGACTGAAAGAGCTCACCCAAATCACATAAGGTTCAAGAATCTTGAACCACTTGAACCACTTGAGCATTAAACACCTCAACAATTACTATGGAATTGAGAAGACAATGAAGCAATGCCTTTGAAAAAATATTTTTTTTCAAGAGACAGAGTCTCACTTTATCGCCCTCAGTAGAGTGCCGTGATGTCACAGCTCACAGCAACCTCCAACTCTTGGGCTTAGGTGATTCTCTTGCCTCAGCCTCCTAAGTAGCTGGGACTACAGGTGCCTGCCACAATGCCTGGCTATTTTTTGTTGCAGTTTGGC